TTGGGATTGCAAACTAATACAGCCTCTTTGGAAAGAAGTATGGAGAATCCTCAAAAAGCTAAAAGTAAACCTTCCATTTGATACCACAATCTCATTACTAGATATCTACCCAGAAGGAAAAAATATCATTTTACTATAAGGACATTTGCACTGGAATGTTCCTCACAGCTCATTCACAATCATAAAAAAATTTTTTTAATTCTTTTTGTTATTTTTGTGTAATAACTCTAGCTTCTGTAGGGTGAATGGAAATCTGTTCTCTCATTTTGACATTAAAACCTACGAGGCAAACTTAATTACAGAGGAAATAATTTTCCCCCAATAATTCAACTTGCCACTCAAAATATTTGTAATGTACATAAGGCTTGTTCTGAAAAATAATGGGAAATGTTACTTTTGGAGATTTAGTAATGGATGGCAAATTTATCCTGAAGAGTAGTATGATAACAAAAGAATAACAGAGCCACTAGAACCTAGTCTAAAACCAGAAAGACCCTCTCACCCATTCTTTTCCACCCTGACTGAAGATGCAGTTCCTCAGAGTGCCAACTGATGCACCTTTCACGCTGACTTGTTCTTTCCACTTCCCCACCAAGTTAGGAGATGCATTCTTTCATCACTAACTTCATGCACCCCCAGAACTTCCAGATAGGTATCCTTTTTAATGTGGAAAAAATTATATACCCTGCCTTTTTTTTTTTTTAAAGACAGAGCCTCACTCTGTTGCCCAGGCTAGAGTACCATGGCATCAACCTCAAACTCCCAGGTTCAAGGGATCCTTCTGCCTTAGCCTCCCTATTAGCTGAGACTAAATGCACCAGCCAAGACATCCAACTAGTTTTTCTATTTTTAGTAGAGATGGGGTCTCGCTCTTGCTCAGGCTGGTCTAGAACTCCTGAGCTCAAGCCATCCTTCCACCTTGGCCTCCCAGAGTGTTAGGATTATAGGCATGAGCCACCACCCCCTGCCTTACCTAGCCTTCCTATTTAGAAAGTGATCACTGCAGACTTTCGCATGTATTTTACCAGATCACTACAACTCCTTTTGAAAGTTTTTCCAGACATCTACCTGCCCTTGCTACATTCTAAGGTCTCCTTTTTCCTTCATGCTATTATTTGTGTGGAGTAACAGGCACATTTAGGATATTTCACAAAACATTCCATTAACTTCCAGTAGATAAAGCAGGTGGGAAAACCCCAAATCCTACAGCCTCTCTGGCTCTGTTGCTAATCTCTGTGCTATCTGGGGAGACTTGGGGGCAAGCTCTGCATCTTCACACCTGCAAAAGTGAAACATGGGTAGGCTGATTGACTTCCTACAGCAAGTGAGTACTTTCAACACTAATTGATTTTAAAGTTTAATGCTAGCAAGAGTTCCCTGGGAGCACTAAATGAGTGTTTTTCATTCTAGATTATCACAAACTAATTAAACCAACAAAAATAACCCACAAGATTACTACTCTTATAAACTATTGACCACCAACACACAAACTTAGAATGAGAAACCAGGTGGTCAGGCAAGGAAACAACAACAACAACAACAACAAAGTCTTTCTTCCTAAAGTCACAGATCGCAAAGTCAATACATATTGCATGTGTCAGGGTGCTGCATGTATGTAGTTGGCTCTTCTGTTTTTGCCCAGCTTGTTCCTCCCAGGCAGGCTGATCTTCCTCTCAGAGGGGCAGGTTTCAGGTTTGCACACTCAGACATGTCAACTCCTTTTTCTTTTTCTTTCTTTCTTTTTTTTTTTCTGAGTCTCACTCTGTTGCCTGTTGCCCTGGGTAGAGAGCTGTGGTGTCATAACTCACAGCAGCCTCAAACTCCTGGGGACAAACTATCCTCTTGCCTCAGCCTCCCAAATAGCTGGAACTACAGGCACCCACCACACACCAGCTAGTTTTCCTATTTTTAGTAGAGATGGAGTCTCGCTCTTGCTCAGGCTGGTCTCCAACTTCTGAGCTTCAGCGATCCACCCTCCTCAGCCTCCCAGAGTGCAGACATGTTAGCTCTTACAGAGATCGCTGTCATTTGGTGCTATCTTTCTGCTCTGGTTTTATTGTTCTCTTTTTAAAAAATCTTTATTATTAAAACTCATTTGTTTAGAACTCTGCATGTCTATATGCAAAAAATATTGTAAAGGTTTACTGTTATCATCCAGGTTCAAATAAGCAAACCAAGACTTAAAGAGAATACATTGTTTACCTGAGGCCACACTGATGAAGGCCTGAGCAGTAATATCTCAACCCTGGTTGTCTAATTCTGAGACCAATACTCCTTTGGCTATATCATGATGCCTCCATATTTTTTAAGAATAGGTTTTTAATTTATGCCTTCCTTAATTGTGAGAATGGATATAATAAATAGTTGGATCCTGGTGCTTTACTCTACATCTCTGCTCCTTTAATCTGTCTGGAGACATTTATTTTTAATCACCTGCAATGAATGACTACTTATTATATAATTTTATGGTCTAGATATATACGGGACTAAAACCTACTGAATTGCCCTTGGTAATTATAGCATGTGGGGAAAAAACTATCACATTTGCTTACCTTGACCTACTTTAATGAAGTGATACTGCTCATTATTCACAGTAGTCCATCCAAATGTTCCCTATCTCCATGCAAGTTTGTCTCAGCCAGAATAAATGCCCAGTTAATCAGACGTGTTTAGTTGGCCTTGGTAAAGCTCTAATAATAATGCTGCTTAACTTTCTGTAGCTATTATACAATCGTCCTGCTTCCCATGATACATTTTAAAAATACTTGCATAATTTTTAGTTGTTTGCATAATGTTATATTCAGAGGATAATATACCAAACATGTCACCAGAAGACAATACTCTGACCTTGACAAGAAAAACAAGATAAATGGTAAATAGCTGCTATTCCAACTCCCCATTTGGTAGGCTTCTGAGCTATCTCCTAGACACCTCCACTAAAGAACCCATTTTATTTCATGGACACTTCCCCCTCACAGTTGGGACATGGACCAGAGCTTCCAAAACAAGTTGGGGTGGATGAATATCACATTGAACATTGCTGGAGGGGGAGGGGGGTTATAGCCTAAAGCAGGAGTATCTGACTTCTTTTTTTCCCTGCTGCAAACCCCTGGAAGAATAGGAGTTGCCTTGAGTCATACATTAAATAAACAAACACTAACAACAGCTGATGAGCAAAAGAAAAGCTCTGTGCATACTTTTCATGTCATCCAAGGTTTACAGACCTACTCAAGCAAAAGTGAAATATTTGCTTCTTTCTCTATCTTGGCAATGAAGCTCAGAACCAACACTTCATAATCAACAAAGGTCACTGGAAGTGATGGCAATCAGAAGGAACTCAGCTGGGTCATCCAGAGGCAAGTATCATCTTTGTCATAACTTAAACCTTCTTTCCCATAAAGCCATTTGCTGAGAAAAATAATGGAATATAAATTATGTATTTAACTTAATTTTTTTCTTAAGCCTGCCAGTTATGCTTCTATAGTCAATCAAAATTAGCCAAAGTATTGACAGGAGGAAAAACAGAGTCAACTCCTGATAGCAGACAGTTGAATCATCATTCAATGTACCTGGTGCAATAGTAGACTTGACCTGAAGACTCATGCTCATCATTCATTGTTACTAAAGCCGTCTTTTGGGAGTAACCAGGTTTCTCGTTTCCAGGGAATCCTGAGACTGACAATTGGCCTACAACCCAGTTCACTTGGCAAACTGCCTAATGCATTATATTAAGAGAATTCTCTTTCAGAATAACAATGAAATCACCAAGCAATTATCATTTGTTTTTGAGATAAATTCTAACTATTCTTTCATTCTGAATATTATTTTGAAATATTGAATATTGACTATTTACACCTCAATATTTTTTATTATGCCCAATTAAAGTTACTTGCTTATTTGTATCATATATTTCATGGTTTAAACTCGCTTTGGTGCATTAACAAAATCTTGTTATTATTCATTTAACCTTTAGAAAGTTCACAGATATCTAACCTACCTATCACCAAGATTTGCGTTTATTCATTAGTTGCTTCTCACCTGGACCATCTCACGGTCTCCTGGCCAGCCCTTTTCATTCATCTATTATGTGTTTATAATTCACTAAAATTTACAAGGTGCTTAAGTTTGTTTCCATCCTCTAAAGTTCCTGGTGTACTCTTCTTCTGGCCAGGAATAATGATTTTCTTCTTTAGGTAAGAGTTATCTTTAAAATTAAGATAGATTTTTCTTATTTTGTTTCTGTTGTATAGTTCCAAAGAAAGAAAAAGCTATTCCGTTGAGTTATAGGA